GGAAGAAGGTGAATTAAATTTAGTTCAGCTATCATTGAAAGGAAAGAACTTAATGTTTATGTTGAATAATGCTCTTTAAAGAAAGTCAGGAGTCTAACAGAATTTAAGTTAATGTAAGCATACTTTATCCAAGTCACATTATTCTATTTAGAGTTTTAAAAATAAAAAATATTTACAGTTCTTTTATATAGTTTTATATAGTTGCAGATATCTACTATTGCAGTTATATTTGATAGTTATTTGCAAATAAAACATTTAACATAATAACCCTAACAATAAAATAAAACACTCAAATACTTTATACCCATTCTAAGATTTCCGTACACTCTGAAATACTATAAAGAGAGAATGTCTTAATATATGTTACCTAAATGTAAATGAATCCTTTACTATTTCCGAGTAAAAACTATTCAAATATATGTGAAATAATGTTGTTTTTTGTTGTCTGAACTGTGCTTGCAATGTAAATTTTAGAAATTATCCTCCTGTATTGTTATGTAAAATGTAACTTCTATGAAAGAATGATGACATCCTGTGCTGCCTAGTTGTTTTAATTTTGATTTTGAAAAAGCTGAGTGGTACTCTGTGATTCAACTCTTTCACATTATGATTTTTAGTGACATTGTTCTGAGCATTCTCGGTAGTGTCATTGTGCGTCCTTCAGACATTTTAAAGAATCTTCAGTTTGCTTCCAGATAGGGGTACCAGTTCCTCCAGGATCTGGACAGTGGAGAAAAAATGCTTCATTGAGTAAGTGGCAAAGATCCAGGCCTTGTTGTGCAAATATGGGGCTCATTCCTTGTTCTCTGGTTGTGCTATTGTAGTCAGATTGTATGAAAGGACTACCTTTCAATCATTGTTCGCCCATTTCCAGTTTCTGAATTGCTGGACCTGTAATTGTTGCCATCCTTCAAAAAGTATGAAGTTCCTGCACAATTGAAATAAATCACAGGCTTAAGAAGTAAGAGTGTTTGTAAAGACCTGCATTCACTTTGTACTGTACAGTGAATTCTATTATTTCGGATGTATTGAGGAATTTAGTTTTCACATTATGCTTCTATGATGTTCTCTATCTTGCATAATGTAATTTGTATGTGTATATAAGTGGCATGCATTTTGTATCTGTTAAAAAGGTAACAACGCTAAGATGTTTTAAGAAATAGACCTGCTCCTATTCCTGCTAAGAATGTTTTGGCTTTCATTGCCAACAAACATCATTGGATATAAACCTTCTAACCTAATTGTTTCCAGCATTTAGAGCTATCTACTTCTGCAGTTTTCTGTTCACCCACTGCAAGTAAAATAATATTAATATTGTATCTCCTACAGTGGCCTTAGTAGCATCTATTGGTATGGGTCTTAATATTGCTTTCACCACAACTAACAGAGTAGCATTCAATTACATACTGTACAAGCAAACATACCCCCGAGAAATGAAGTCTCAAGAAATTAGCTCTGTGAAAGCAGAGGTAGTGAGGCTTTTAAACTAAGTGGATCTAATATGCTCTCATTTATCAGAAGCATTAGTTCCCCACAAATGGCTGTCTCACTTAATTTGTCTCTAATGAAGAGTTTTTTCACTTTAATTAGCATTTTGTATATGTTCCATTGAGGTCTAATTGGCATAATTAGAATATCAAATTCCATTACCGGCAAACCCACCCCCTCACCCTTTACTCCTGTCCTCAAATTTGTAAATCTCCAGTTTGAAACTTACTGGTTTTATACACTGTGGCAAAGAAGAGATATAATTTAAAATGTCAGTTTCAGAGCCATTTGAGCCACATTCAATTTGAGCTTTAATTTGTAAACATACATATTTTTATTTTTTTCAGTAATTTACAGTAAATTGGAGTAGAAAGGATTAAGAAAACTTTTTAGGTTGTAGCAGAACTGTAATGAACGCATTAAGTTGTTTTAATTGGGGATAGGGACTTGCATAGATTAGCATTATTGAAAAGTATTTTTTACATTAATATTAAAAGGGCTACATGGTGATGAGATGGTTAGGACTGCTGTCTTGGTTCTTTGATTCTGGTTTGAATTCCTGATGGGCTCCTTCTGTGAGCAGTCTGCATGTTCTTTGCCTTTGTAAAAATAAAACAAGACATTTATGATTTTCAATAAGATCTCTTAACATCTTAACAGTATAATTCATTTTGTTACACACATTGCAAATATGTACTTTAAAAATATGCTCACTTCAAGTGAAGTTTTTCCCCCATTGGCATTGACACAGCCTTGATAACATTTTTACCCTATCTTGTAAATTGATTGCAAGATTTTCTTAGCACCCTGAAAACAGTTCGTGTTCACCATTTCATCCTTTTTATATGACACTTTGGAAAGGTCCCAATTTCTACGTGCTGATGCTCTTAATCCTTTTATCTCAAGTGAAGAGTCTTTAAAGATCATGGTATTTGATTTTTTTATTTTAATCAAAAAGATTGACTAATTTTCCCTGATAGCCAGCCCTCACCGGACTGTATATCTAGCATCTCAGTTGGCTTATCATGGGGAAATAATTCAATATAGCTGGGACATTTTTAAATGTCATTTCCTGAACTCATATGGAGTGACATGCTTTCGACAGTGGAAATAATGGTGCTTTATTGAACAGGGTATGTCAGTGCCCTTATGTTTGATATTGGCTTGAAAACTAAAGGTCTTCATGAAGAAGAAAAAATCTAGTAAACCCTTTGCATGCAGTCAATATGTGGATGCTCTCAATGTCTAGCACACAAATGGATGAGTTTAAATACACGATCCTGAGTTAGCCTTATCTGGCCAAAGAGTTGCACTTCATGAAAATGTAAAATATTTCAGTGTTTTCTTAAATACAGAACAAACAGCATCAGCTCCATAACGATGCATCTGCTCTGCATTAAGATTTGATATAATACATTTTCAGTTGTTTATTATTGAATTGATTATTTTATGAGCAGTTGGATTTCTTGGCTGAAAATGAAGTCATCTCAAAGCTGCTATGCCAGTTGTTGGGAACGGTGATTTTCTGCCAAAAAGAATATATAGAGAGAGAGTTTTCAGGTCTGTGTTTTGTACGGTTCTTCCTCCCGAGACTCGAGTGGTATTTCTGTCTTTATTTTGTATTCGTCAACTAGGCTTGTGATAATTCATACTGTATCCCTGGGAGTTAAGTAGAGTTTATTCTCTTTGGGAAAATGCTGCAAGTTCAATTTTTATTAGTGTGTGTGTGAAGCCAGGTATTTTTTATAAAACACACAATTTGATTTTCTCAATAATGTACACTTGTGTTTCTCCTATAAAACACAACTGTCTAATGAAAGTTTTTTTTACCAGGGTTAGTTGTACCTTTAAATTTGATAAACATTTTAAACCATCAGTTGATTTTCCTTTGTTAATGTATCTTTATCCTCCAGAATTAAAAGTCTTTAAAAGCAATTTAAACAGTCATGTACACGTCAAGTAATTGGGAAAGGAAAAGTTGACGATGGAAAGTGACTACAAGATTGTTTGGGAACAAGTAATAGGTTTATTCCATGCTGAGGGAATGTCTTTAGAGTGCAGCTTCAGTTGTTCATGAATATGTTCTCAAGGAGAAGTGCTGTGGTTTTCCTTTGCATTTAATGACAACTTATTAAGTTCTGAAAAATCAAGAAAAGCCAAACTGTTGTTTCTTTGAAAAGGCCACAAATGAGAAGAATCCTTCTGACCTATAATTTTCTTCATGTTCAATTTCTGTATAGTTCCCTGGCCAGTACTGGTTCCATTGAAAGCATCCCCCCAGTTAATTGTGAACCCATGCAGATATATAAACAACATGCAAACTCTACACAAACAAGCAACCAGAGCAGAAACAAACCTAGGACCCATGAGCTGTGAGGCAGTGGTGCTAAACACCACGCCACAAGGCCTTTGTAAATGAAAATGTTGTGATGGTGTTACATTCCTGTTGTGATACTGGTTTGTATAGACCTAAATACAGCATACAGTACATGAACTTTTGAATAGCTATTTTAGAACCATTAATAGAATCTGAAATTATTTTTACCGGAACAGTTTTTTAAGTTAAAGTAAGTGCATATGATGACTAGTTTACACTAGCCTGTAGTTAAAAGGGATAAGGTACAGTAAGTAATTATAATACATAATAATGTCATTGTTTAACGCAATTTATTTTATCCTCTGGTTTTGCACATTTTCAATTAATATGTTGTGCTGATATAGAATAAACACCATCTTCAAGATGTAGAGGGTGTGTGGCTTGGTGAGGCAGAGTGGCACACACATGCAACAGTCAGTTGACCCTTTATGTCCGATTACAGCCACCCTGTTGTCTTTGACCTCTCTTCCCCTCTGAATAGACATCAGGACGGGCTTAGCTGCCCTCCAGGTCCGCAGGCTTAATTTGGCATTTAGCCTGTTCAGAGTAGAGTCCCCTTCTCTTCTCAACCTCCACCCCCTGCCCCAGGAAGATGCCTTTGTTTGCCTGTGTTGGGTAGTGTAGCAGATCTGATGTGGTGCATTGAGCTAATTTGTCTGAAAGGGGAGGTCGGATGCTTTCTGTGAGATGGTTTAGTAAATCTGAAAGGTTAGCTGGGAGTCTCTGCAGAGGGGTAGGTGATTGAACCATGTAGCTGTGCTCATGCTGCCTGGACAGGAGTTCAAAAGAGAGTAAATAAAAAAAAAATGGCAGGGAAGACAGAAGGAGGTGTTTAAACAGATCTTGAGTACTGAAGATAAGTGGCAGTTTCCAGGCTGGGTTTCATTTTTAATGGCAGATTTATCAAGATGTACTGTACATCTGACAAAGCTCTATTATCATGTTTGCAGTACTACTACTTTATAATTTACTGTACCTTTATGATCCCTAGAAGCTCTAAGGCTAATTCTATTCAATTTTACTTAACCCTTTTTTGCTTATGATATTTGATAGTACCATTTTTCAGTTTTAATTGTGTCCCGACTCCAATGATTGCAACTAATTTTCCCTCTTTTGCTCCCATTTCCTTTTGTAGGATTCCTCAAACCCCCGTGCTCACTAGCACCCGTTGAGAGGGGCAGACAAGGAGATGCAATCAGTTCCCCAACAGTTTGCTCCTGTTTCAGTGGCATGTGCCCTCTCCACCAGCGCAGGATATCTACAGGTACTATTGCAAGCCCTCCTGCAAATGAGCCATTCACTCTTGCCCTAACCCCTAACACAGCGTGATCGTAAAACAATCATGTCAACAGCCCGATAACACATAAGTGCCTGGGACTGTTTATTTTAAACACAGCAATTCTTACTGGGTAAAGGCCTTTTTTTTGTTTTTTTTGTTGTAAGATCTTATCTTTTACTTAAGTATTAATTATTATAGGAAGATGGAAAAACAGTTTTATCCTCAGTATTTCCAGCACTTACTTGTTTTAAATGTCTTTTCTAAACAGCATTTTTGTGCTTGATAAGTGGCTGTTTGTACTGTGCCAAAAACTCACAGATACTTGTGATTTAGGCCCTAGAAACTGACTATGAATTACACTAGCTGGGGGAGATAGTTCAAAACCAGTTGTTTTGCATTATTATACACAGGCAGGTGAGCTTGTTTTTGTATAAAAAAACAGAGAAAAAGCAATACAAGCAGACGTGCCTATTTATAGAGTACAAACTGAGATCAAACATTACCAGTTTGAGTCTGGTCTTAGCAGCTAGCCAGCTGTGACTGGGATTTCCCCAGTTGCCGAGTGCCTCTAGTTCAAGTTGGGCTTATGAAGACTGGGTTATTCTCCACCCCTTGACTTTCTAGGTACCCATCAGTCTGCAGTGTTATCAATTCCTAACAGTGCTGTGATTTACATGGGACTAGTAGAAGTTGGTTGCAGAAGTGTTTTTTATGCACAATCTTTATCTCTCTTGTGGCAGAATAGATTACCAATTGGGAGGTAGAAAGGGTTATACTGTAAAAAAAGAAAAAGAATCAACAAAATTTAAAAGGATTAAAAATAACAAAACAAATAGATAAATAGCATAGTTCACAATCTGTATTCTCATAGCCTAATTATAGATTTTTTGCTTCTAATTTTTCCTGGAATGTTTAAATACGAAATTGGGATTGGCTCTTAAATTTGATACTCAATCAAATGTGTGTCACCATCTTTTTTTTTAACATGCCATCTGGTGTATATCTTTAAATAGAATCACAAAAAATCAGCCTTTTATAATAGATGGTACAACCTTTGTGCAGGTATAACAATAACCCGTTCCAACCACAAAGAATATTTTCCATTTGCCTACATGTTGCAACACAGAAATGCAAACACCATACAATCACCTAAATGTCTTCCTTGTAAAATCTAAAAGCTAGACGAAGATTTGTGTCTCATTACTTATTTTATATATTTAAGCAGCTAATAAAAAATATTTTTATTAGGCAACAAAGGTTTTTAATATATCTCAATGGAAATTTATTTTGATACAATTCTGCTTATTGATGTGGATGTGTTGGTTGGTTGTTAAATTTATTAAAAATACCTTATTCAAGTGTACCATGACAAAAAACCTTCTCCCTAATAAACATGCATATTTATGGTCATTCAAGAAGAGTGTGAATCAAAATAGCTGTGATAATGTTTTAATTAAAAGGTTTTATTTTTCAAGATTGAAATTTAGAGAGGAACAGATCTTAAAAATTGTACACCCTGAAATTAGCTGGTTTGCAAAGATATTTTCATTATTTATCAGTAGATTAGAAAAAATGAATAAGTATATAAAATAAATACAGCCCTAAACAAAAGAGAAAAAGAGATAAAAATACAACCCTACATAAAAGAGAAACCCACTCTTCTGATAGCTTAAAGTGAAATTTCTAGTATCTTAGTATCAAGAATACAAATTAAATGATTCACCAAACAATTGGGCAATTTAACTTAGTTTAGAATCGTTCGATTAGTATTGTAATTTAAGTTACTTAACTGATATTTGAAATATTATGTAAAGAAAAATAATTAAATTACATTCTTTTATTTTTTCTATTATCAATTTTGTCTTGCATAATAAACAGGGAAAACATCCAGAAAAAGCTCGTGAAATAAACAAGACTTATTTCAGTCTCGGTTCAGTGAAGATTTTTACCTATTGCGCTTGACTCTCTTTTTTAAGCAATGGATACTTCAAATACTGGAATTGTGGAGAAGCCAGTTGAACTTTTTTTTTTATCCTATGCATTATTTTTACTAACAGGTATTGTTTTAAATTATTATTGCTGATATGCGGAACTTTATGTGTCCCAGGTGGGATGCGAGTCTGTTGATGTTGTCAAGTCACTTAGGCATACGATATTCACTGAGTCAGCTATGATCTCCAGTCTGAAATGTGAGTCCCGAGACAGACTGGCCATCTGTCTGGAGAATAAGCAAATGCAGTGAGGTTTACAGATTTGCCTTGAGGACCTGGCATTGATATATCAACCTCATACTTAGGCTGCCTATCAGATTCAGCTTCTGTTCAAATAAATGCATAAGGCTATGCTTACAATACAATATTTCTGATTTACAGTGTGACATAGAGGCAGAATGGTATAGAGGCCTGCTTCTGAACTTGATAAGTCAATGAAAAGGAACATGATTCAGTTGTTCTCCAACAGCATCTTCAGTAGACAGGTGCAATAGAAAGTAATATGAGGGAAAAGAAAGAAGTCAAAACAAACTTCAAAGAAGTTTAAATTAAGCTGTTCTCACATACTGAGTTTTCTGTTTGTCTATCAATACTTTCACATCTTTTATTTTAGAATGTACAGTTAGCACGGGACTTAAGGAATTAAGGACGAAAGATATTAAGCTAATAAAATAAAAGTCTAGAAATAGTATTGATTTGGTTACTTTCAGTTGAGGCTTAGTGTGTTTTTCAGACTTTGTGAAAATAGGTTATATGAGTAGCCTATAATTGTAATATTATAATAGTACATTTTACTATTTTAATTTTGTGAAAGAATTTGGAAAGTATTGAAACTGTTTGTCAGATGGAATCATTGTGTACTACATTTAAAATGATCAGAAACACTTTCAGTGCAGTTCAATTGCCAAGCTGCACTACAGTTTGAACACCTACGCAGCTGAATATTTTAATTTTAATGTCTTATCAGATACTCACATATAGACAATAAGCTGTCATAGTTCAGGCAGGAGGTGACTGTGCTTCCTAGCTTTCACTTACAATGTTAAAATGAATTGTTCTCCATAATTTATAAAGCTAAATTAAGTAGAACAATTTGTTTTGTCATTAAAGGTTAATAAAGAACTGATTTGCTTATTAGCAAGCAGATAAATATCACATTTTTTAACATTACAACAATATTATTAAAACAGCAAGTGCATTGTACTTTAATCATTAATCACATGTTCAATGTATTAAGAATGTACACCTGCACACACTCCTCCAAACTAAATATAAAGCAAGGCTTACTTATTCTTGCTTACTGTGTTAGTGTTATCTGTCCCTCAAGCAGTATTTACAAGTGATGCTGATCACTAATATAGAAACCTGTGTACCTGCCATTTCACTCTTGCATTTTATCAATTGATACACATTTATACCTCTCTCTTAGTATACAAAGGTAATTCATTCTTCAACAACTGTTTATACTGTGAAAATTCTCATAAGGAAAATTAACTTCCCATTATTAAGCATGTAAAAACCTACAAATAATTACTGAAAACTAGAAAATAGCCCAGAACTACTCATTGTTAAATTAGAAGTACTGAATTGGCAAAATAAGAACACTGTTGCATAGTTAATTAGCACGTTTAGCTTAGCAAGATCACAAGGGGCTGCCTTCATTGCAGTAAAAATGACTTTGTATAGCAAAAAAATTGTATCACAGCAAAAGTGTAAAATTTAGTGTTTCTATAGCTAGGGGTATGTATGGTTTTGTATTTCCTTTGCCACGTTTGGGACAAGATGTCCTGACCATATTTTTTTAACAGAACAGACATTTACATAGTGTACAATAATTACTATTTTAAATAATTATGGTTGATAATGTTAAACAAAAGTTCAATACTGAGAGGGTAATCAATAAAAATAAGTTTGACTGAATTGGCATTTAATTAAGATGCAATGACTGCTAATTGCATTTTAATAGAAGGAATTTAGTTGTAAAATAAACACCAAAACCACAGACCAAAACAAACAATACGACATAATGGCTGTGCCTATTATTACGATACTTTATGGTACAGTATCTATGGTCTGCTTGGTGTACTTTTAAATTAAGACTGGTCCACCACAGTAAATCACTTTGTAATCAGTTGTTTAGCACACTTGAATCCATTTTATTGAATATCGGAATACAGATTTTTGTCCCAAAAATAAACAACTTGACCATAATATCTGACTGGATGCTTTATGTAAAATTTAAAATAGTGTGACAAAGCAATTTAGGAACACAAATCCAGAGGTGGGATTCAAGGAAAAAATATGTTTCGTTCAAACACACCTTTGGTCCAGCTCCTTTGATCGTTTGTGGCTACCACACAGATCTGGTAAAAGAATGGTTTTGTGGTTTTAAATTATTTGCTTTTTAAAAAACAGAAACTGGGGATTTCACTGCTGTAGGAAACACAGATCATACCCTTGGATAAAAAAAGTACATACTGAGGAACATATATGTTCAATAATAATTTTCTTTAATATAAAAATAACAAACTTATACAATGATACAGTAAGAGGGAATGAAGTAAGGTCTCTAATACATGTACAATACAAGCCTTGTACTATGATTTCATTTCTTCAAGTGGAGGAATGGAAAAGATTATGAGATGGAATGTCTGGGGTGCCCTCAAACAGAGCAGTCTTAGCGAGTCAGCCAATAACAGAGGCTGAGAGAACGGCTGGCTAATTTTTTCCTGATGATTACAGCCGCCTTCTCCATAATTGAGTCTGATTTTAAAGCACAGAATTCACATATGGTCTGTATTTTTAAAATTAAAGTGACAGATGCTCCTTTAAAGAAATGTTTCTGTATAGAATGAAAAAATAATTGTTTTTTTTATTTTTTTAAGCAGGGTCATGTGTGAGTGGAGGCTGGGGTGGTGATGGGTGTCGGGGGGAGGAGTTGGTGTATTCAGGCATTGGTGTAATTTTACATGTCATGTCTGGTCTTGGACAGGG